CACTATCCCTTGTGTAATTGGTAATACAAGGTCTGAACATGCTATGCTAGATTTAGCTACTTCCATTAATATCATGCCTTACTCTATTTATGCATCTATGAACTTAGGAAAGCTTAACAATGATGGATTTATTATTCAATTAGCCGATTGTTCTAATGCATATCCAAAATGAGTTTTGGAAGATGTTTTGGTGCAGGTTAATCATTTAATCTTTCTTGTTAATTTCTATGTGCTTGAAATGGAAGATTCGGCCCAGTCTCCACCATTGCCGATTCTACTTGGAAGACCATTCATGAAAACAGCCGAAACCAAGATTGATGTGGCCAAATGAGCGTTAACAATGGAGTTTAGTGGTGATATTATTAAATTCAATGTTTCTGAATCTGTTAAGCATCTTAATGATGTTTGTCCTTGTTTTGCCATTGATGTGAATAAAAATATAGGGCAGGAACGACACCTATCGAAGAGGGAATTAGAGTGGAGCACAAGGAACATGCCACTGCCCTTAAAATACCTAATCTGGCTGAAAGCATCCCTAGTGATTTTGTTGACTGTGCTGCTACTTTGGAGCCTTAGTCACAGTATATTGGTGAGCCACCTATTCTAATTCCAATTCCTATTTCAACTAATAGGTTGTTACCTTCTTTGGTGCAGGTACCCCATCGAACCCAAGGTGGTGAGAACGATTTCCTTGACTTTAGAAAGCTTAATGCCACAATCAAGAAAGATCATTATCCTCTTCCATTCATTGAGCCTTATTATGAGTATTTTGATGAGCATGTTGTGGAGGATGTACCCCTCCATGCCATGGGCACTAATAGAGCTTAAAAGGAGGTATCGTTTGGCTGGAAGACGTTAAAGCAAGCGCTTCTTGGGAGGCAACCCATGCATTCAAATAAAGAAAACCTAGGAATCTCCGACTCCACAACCAGATTTGCTTTTGCTTTGCCATACATGTCATATTTCTTAGTTGTGTTGTTTGATTGTTTTTGTGTGAGTCTATGTTTGAAATATTGAGGACAATGTTTGATTTAAGGTGTGGGGGGGGGGGGGGGGGGTAAACAAATTGTATTTCATGAATTTCGTCAGATTTTATCACCTATCACTTCTAAAGTTGTTACTCACTATTTTTAAGTGTTTTTATTGTGTTTTGAAGTGTTTTAATGTGTTTTGAAAGGCAAATCTAAAAATTTTGAAGAAAAAATCGAAAAAGTTTTGAAAAAAAAAACCCAAAAAGAGTCGTTTTAGAGTTGTTTTTGATGTTTGTTTGTGCCTTAGGGTACCTTCCAACATAATGATGAGGATTTGGTTTTTAATTGCATAACTGTTAAAGAAAGTTGCAAACATGGATGGAAGTTTGATTTGCTCTTTGGTTCATGCTTAATTGTAGTTGTCGTTTACAAACTCACATGTAGTCACAAAGAAAAAAAAAAAAGTTTTTGTAGCATGCTTGAAGGAAGGAACTCAAACTAACGCTACAACCCTGAGAGACTTAAGTCTAAACTTTGTTTGGAAAGTTATTAATCTATGATTTCTTGTTTTGTAAAGTCGTTGCATCGTCTCATTATTTCTTTGCTTGGTTGCTACTTAGAATGTGTTTTCATCATTATAGATCCAAATACTAGAACTCATGCCCGTTTCATTCAAAGCATGATATTGAGTGCATAACATACAATAAGATGAAGTTGTTTAGTTAAACCAGAGCCAAAAAGCCTTACCCTTTGCATATGTATTGTAGGTTTAACCCCTTTGAGCCTTATTTAGCCTATTTTCTTTGTTAGCCTCATTATCCTTACCTAGCCTAGAATAGGACTATCCATACCCTTGTTTTTAAAGAATAGTGGAGCATGACATAGAGGGAATTCCTTTTGATCAACATTATGTAGAAAAACAAGTGTGGGGGAAGGTTTTCGTTGGGAATTTGAAATCTTAATAAAAATAAAAATAAAATAAAATAAAATAAAGGTGAAAAAGAAAGAAAAAGAAAGGAAAAGAGTTGAGAAATAAGTGAGAATGAACTCACAAGTATTGGTTGTTGAAGAAAGGGTCCAATAGTTTGAATCTGGCCCTAAGTGTTGTGTGAATCTCCCATAGGTGTTTAAAGTTGATTTCTGCATTCAAAAGTGAGTTCTAAGTGTTTATTTCATTACTTTGCTAAGTATCGCTTTAAGAACTTTTGTTTATCCCTAACCCTTCTTTGTTAGCCAATACCTTAGCCCCGTTACAACCATTAGACTTCTATCTTGATTGTTATGTGTTTCAATATGTGGAGTTTGAAATTGGTATGAGCATATGGAATCCCTGGTTCTCGCTTCTAAGTAGTGGCATTCCATTCATGAGATCATATACATGTTTATATTAATAATTCCAGAAAGTGCTTTCTTTGTTATAACATATGTGAGTGTTAGTCTACATGTTTACATCAATCTTCTCACATATACTTAGTGTAGGGAGTGTAGTAAAAAAATATGTGTGAAAATAGAGAGTATATTCGGTGAGGAATTGAGGGAATTCTCTAAGGCATGTTACTACATTCAAAATGTTGTTTTAATTGATTAAATGCGAGCTAGTGAGTGGTGACTGCGGTTAAGTGTTTACTCAAGAGTAAAGAGAGCTAAAATCTGTGGGAGTAGTGATTTTTAACATGTCATGTTGCATTGAAAAATCCCTGAGGCAAATGTTGGAAGGACTAGATTGTGTTTTGTTTGTTTTGTTTTGCTCGAGGACTAGCAAAAGCTAAGTGTGGGGGAATTTGATAGGAGCATATTTATGCGACTTTGTTAGCCTATTTCTTTGCATTTACTTAGTGAGTTTCTATTTATTATAGTGATTTAAGCTATTTTTGTGTGTTTGTAGGTTCAATTGGCTAAAGTGGCAAGAAAGTGCATTTTGGAGCAATTTTTGGCTTGGAATGATTAGCACATGCTTGGAGCAAGATGGATGGACGAATTTGAAGTTCAAGAAGGGCTAGGAATGTGCTAAAGAGTTGAGGAAATTAATTCAAGACTTGAAAGACAAGGAATCGGCTACAAAGAAAGAAACATTATCCAAGTTACCTATTTTGTCTTAGCTTTCCTAATCTTTTCCTACTTAAGTTCCAGCTGCTAGGGGGATCCCTAATTAATTTAGGACACCTAAATATATGTTTCTAGAAGGCCTAATCCTATTCCTAAAGGGGTGCCGCACCTTTCCTTCTAGAATACCCAATTCCTTGCCGCAATTCCCTTTCCCTTTCTCTTTAGGATCCTGCCGCATATCCCTTTCCCTTTTTCCTCTTGGATTATGACATTTATTTACCCTTTTTCCTCTTGGATTATGACATTTATTTACCCTTTTTCCTTAAGGATTTGGAGAGCAAATCTTTCCTAAAAGAATTAATTAATGCCATGTTTTCCTCTCCTAAAATATATACAATCTGCCGCAAAAAAAATGATATACCATTCATCCCTCTACCACCAGAATTCACACCACCCCAATTTCATACACAAAGACCCTTGTGCCACAACATTTCAAGGAAGGAGAGGATAGCTTGGAGTCGTACCTGCCATTCAAGACTTTTTGGATTGTTGGAGCGTTTCTAGGTGTATTCAATCTTTTGTTTTCAATGTTTAAATTTAATTGTTCTTGTTTAATTGCGAACATGAGGAGCTAAACTCATTTTGGCTAGAGGAGAATTCAAAGCCATGAATATATATGTGATATGAATTGATTTCATCCAATTATTGTTTTGTAAAACTGAATGTGATTTGCTTTGATAACTTATTCTTGTATGTTGATTAAGGAGGCCTACTTAGTTTGCATGCATGAATTTGATGCTAGAATATAAGGGATTTTCACCTAATCGTTATGAACTTATATTTGCAAGTAGTGGAGGTCACTTGTCACGAACGTGTTAAGTAAATTCCTGGCAAGAGTATCATGTTTTTCATAGTTACGAATGTCATGTCAATGCTTATGATTTCCATAAAACTTAATGATCTTTGATATATATCTCTATCATGCTGTTCATATAGGGAACTTGAGAAGAATAATTTGATTGCGTCGCTGAGTCCAATTCAATGAGATTAGGGAAATCTGATGGTTAATTTGTGCAGTTCACGATTGACTTGGAGCATTGTCATTCATGGTTTATTAGAATAATAATTGGAGATCGATTTGTATGCATATGTGTCATGTGTGGAGAAGAACCCTCTAGCTAGCCATTCACCCATTAAAACACCTAATTTCGTCCAAAGTTGTTTAGAGTCTTTAAATCTGTTTGCTTTTACTTTAAATTCATCAAAACCAATCCCCCCCCCTTTAATATTTTGTGTTTACTTAGTTAGAACCTGTTTTGATTTGTTTCTTTTAGTGTTTTGAGTCAAAGTTAAGTTAGAATTCATCCAAAATCACCCTTAGTTTCTGTTTTGAGTTAATTTGCTTGTTTTGTGTTGTTTTTAGTCATTCTAGTTTGTTTTGAGCGTAGATTAGCAATCCCTCCTAATCCCCGGCCTAGAACGATCCCTACTTATCCATACTACAATTGCCAAAAAGAGGGTTTAATTTGTGTGCTATTATATATCACGTCATCTTCCACAATTATGTTGTGCAAAATTATGCACGTCATCATGATTGAATGGAAGTCTTCGGTATGCCAAAGTCGTGTAGGTCTTCTAACAATTGCCCATCGAGCTTGTGGGATCTCGAACGCTCTCTCTACATCCTTCTTGTAATAATTTCTTCTTTGCACTATCAGAATGAGAAAAAGCTTTGACAAAGGTAGACCAACCAGGATAAATACCATTAGTTAGGTAGTAACCTAGCTCATACTTATTACCATTTACCTTGTACTGAAATTCTGGTGCCCATCCATTGACAACATCATCGAACAGAGGAGAAGACCAAAGAACGTTGATATCGTTGTTTGACCCAGGAGCGCTGAAGAATGCATGCCAAATCCAAGTGTCGTAAGATGCCACAACCTCGAGCACGATGGTTGGCTTGTTAAGACATCCCTTGAATTAGCCAGCCCAAGCAGTAGGACAATTCTTGCACTCCCAATGCATACAATCGAGAATTCCTATCATGCCAGGGAAACCTCTTTTGTATGCCTTATGTAGAAGCCGCTTCAAGTCTTCACGAATTGGCTTGCGGAGGTATGTGACTCTATATATGGCTTCAATTGCCTTACAAAAGCACTTCAGGTTCTCAATAACAGTAGTCTCCGCAAGTTGACAATACTCGTTAGTTGAGTCTGCAGAGCACCCATTAGCTAGCATCCAAAATGCAGATGTGAGCTTCTGATAAGGTGATAGACTTTGTCGACCTACAACATCTATCTTCCTTGCAAAGTAGTGGTCATGATTGACAACTACATTCAAGATGCTTTCAAAAAGCTCTATCTTCATTCGAAACCGCATTTGAAAATCAAGAGCAGGAAATCTCGAACGCTCGATGAAATAATCTTTCATCATTCAATCATGACACTCTTCTTTATCACGCTGTACAAATGAACGCCTCGTGACAGAACCACGATAGCTAGATTCAGCATAGTGCTCATATTGCATAAGTGAGTTTGCAAATTCAGCTTCTACGTTAATAATTTCTGCATCCTCAATCTCAAGACTTGCTTGGTATTGTGCCATTTGCATTGCCCTGCTACGCCTTCTTCTATCACCCATTGATGAGATATTGAGGATTTGTAGGAAACAAAAATACTTTGAAAGTTAAAAGATTAGTGAATATAGAGGATGATTGAAGGTTGAAAGATTGTGTGATCAACTGATATTCAACTTGTGTTTATATAGAGGATGAGTGAAGGTTATGTGATTCATGTGTGTAGGTTTATATTTCATGCATTTCATGTATTTTGTATGTGTTTCATGTGTGTCATGTGTTTCACATGTGTTCTGTGTGTGCTTCATTTCTATCATGTGTTTTGTATGTCCTTCACATATGTATGTGCTTTACATGTGTTTTGTATGTACTTCACATGCGTTATGTGTGTCTTGTGTGTTTTATGTATTTTGTGTTTATACATCTCTATCATGAATTTCATATTCTTCCATAGTATTTCATGAGTTTCATGTATCGATTTAGTGATTTTTCAATATTTATCGGAATTTAAATATTTTTAGATTAAAATGTTCATAAAATTACTTTATGATAGTCTACATAATTTTTTTTTAAAAGTAAATTTAAGAAAAAAAATTAGCCTAAATTCATTATTTAATAATTCCAGGCTAAAAATTTAGGCTAGAAGGGTTGGAGCAAAAAAGTTGTTTTTGGGCTAAAAGCTAAGGGCTTGTTTGGTATCCTATTTGAAATTTTTTATCATTTCTCAAAACATTTCTTGAAAACAATTTTCATTAAGACTCAAAAATTTGATTGGTTTGCGATTTAAAATTTTTAAATCTTATGACTTAAACTAGACAAAGAGATCTATAAAGAGAAGGGTCGCAGGAGAGGGAGAAAGAGGAGAGAGGAGGAAAGAAAATAAGAGATGATTGAATGAAAGAGAAAGAAGAGAGAGGATCAGACGAGGTAAAAAGGAAGAGGTGTGAGAGAAAGAACCGTGAGAATGAAGAGAACGGATTGGAAGAGAGACGAAAAGGTTAAAAAAAAAAACAAAAAAAAAAGAGGAGAGAGAAAGAAGAAAAAAGAGAGAGATAGATTTGGAGTGAGAGAGGGAGGAAGAGAAAATGAGTGAGTTTAAGTTTAAAAACTCTAAAAACTCAATTTTTATGTTTTTAGGGAATAAATTATATTTTTGAGTTAGTCTTGAGTTCAGTTTTTTTTAAAATAGTCCCACCAAATAAGTTTTTAAGACCTAAAACTTAAAAATTGTTTTTGAGTTTTAAAAGTTGGATTCAAGTAGAGTACCAAACAGACCCTAAATTTTCCGGGCTAAAAAATTTGGCTTTTAACCCAAGGGTTGGAGATGGTCTAAGGGGGAGGGGGTAGGCTCAGCCTCACAATGGGCTAGTAATAATATGGTTCAAATTCGCTTTTGGCAAGAATCGAGTCTAAGACCTCTCACTTACAAGTGAAAAGGAGAGAATTTATCATAAACAGCAAAAAATTAACCCTTAATTTCAAATATGTCAATTTTTATAAAAACTTTCAAATATATCCAAAATCTCACTTAAATAGACACAAATGCCTCTCAATTTATATGAATAACTAGTTAACTAAAAGACTTCTTGTGTTATAATCAAGTGCTATTAACCCATGAAATTAAGGACTATGGTGGTGATTGAGTCTCCTGGCAAATACGTCATATAGAAACAGGCCTGATCATGCTCAACTTGCACTAACAAAATTCCTGAACATGACGAAATTGTCATCATCACTATATGTGTTCAACTTGATACTAAATTCTATGTCCTTGTAACAAATTTATGAGAAGAAGATAGACCCACACAATGTTTATTATGTTGACTTGAGCAATAACGTAACAGATTTACGATTCCCAACAAAAAGGAATTTATGTACACTGTAAATATAAAAAAATCCAAGGATTGTCTTTTTGTCAAATTTATATGATTGTACATACAACTTAAATAAATAATAAGATGATCAAAAGAAAATATTTATTCACTACATCTAAATTTAATAAAAGTTCTACAAAGTAGGATGAAGTGGAATGGGATTCCTACAAGTTTGTTTATAATGGCCATTTGAACCACATTTTGAACACTTTCGAGTTGATTTTTCTTCTCCACATCACCGGTTGGCCATATAACTTATGCATACACAATGACCAGAGAATTTGTAGTATAATAATGGGAACACATAGGATAACATGAAATTTGTCGGTGTCTACATACAGCACAAGCATGTGAGCAAGGTAGTTGGTCAAGATCAAATTGCCGACAAGTGCAACTCTTTTCCTCTAAATTCACAACTTCAATACGAGATCCATAGTATACATGAAATGAGTAAGTTGCGATAGGTGATACCTGCATTTTAAATACATACATATATTACTCAAACAAATGAACCACTGATTAACAATAATTCTTTGGCAATCATTGTATCCTGATGATCAACAACTATTTTGTTCTAACAAAAAAATAGAAAATATAAGAGTTGTAAATATGTTTGTTTGCATAGGGTCCACAATTACATTACTATAATGATTAACAATAATTCTTGCTAAAATGATATGTTGATTGAAATTAAAAACCCAAGACAAGTAAGATGAAAGGTAAGATCTAGTATATGCCAGAATTACATAGGCAACTGATAGGAGCATATTTATGCGACTTCATTTGCTTGTTTTCGTACATTTATGTTATTAGTTCTTAGTTATTTTAGTTCTTTAAGCTTCTTTTGTGTGTTTTTAGGTTCATATGTGATACGAGAATTACTTGACACTCAAATTAAACCCTCGTTTGACAATTGTAGTAGAATGGATAAGTGAGGGATCGTTCTAGACCGGGGATTAGGAGGGCTTGCTAAAACCTTCTAAATTGACTTAAAAACATAAAAACACAATATAAAACACTATTTAATGCTCGAAGAAAGCAAAACTAAAAATAAGAAAGATTAAGACTAAGACTTCAACGAAATAGTGGGGAATTGGATTTGGACGAATTTAAACTAAAACGTAAAAACAATATAAAACGTTAAACTAGACTCAAAGAATGTGAAACTAAACGTTAAAACACTAAGACAAACCAAAAGAATCAAAATGCTTTAAAAACACAAACTAAATTGATTTCTAACTATATTGCACATTAAAGTAAAAGGGGGATTGAGGTTTGATGAAAATTGAAATAACGAAACAAGAATGTAATTAATGAAATAAGATGGTTGGTGAATTAGCTAGAGGTTCTTTCTCCACACATGATATTTATGCATATGAATCAATTTCCAGTTATTCCTTCATTGAATTATGAACGACAATGCCCCATATTAACCTTGACATCACTAGTTAACCCTCAGATTTACCTTATATTATTGAATTGGATGGCATCATTCGACAACCCAAAACATTCTCAAAAGTTCCCTACATGTCATCATAATAGAGATACAATCGAAGATCATTAAGAATAATGAAAACCATAAGCATTGACAAAGCACTTGCAACTATGACATCATGTTACTCATGCTAAGAATTAAACTTAACGCGATCGTGACAAGCGACCTTCACTACTTTCAAGTATAAGTTAGTAACGATTATGTGAAACCTTCTTAAACTTTAGCCACATATTCATGCATGTAATTAAGTGTCGACCCTCAATCAACAAACACAAATAAGTTAATCATCAAATAGTTAAGCCAATTGCATTCACGAATCAAGAGTTCATAACCGGAATTCATCAATTCATATTACATAAATAATCATGGTATTGAAATCACCCCTAGCTAAAAAGGGTTTAGTTCCTCATAACTTTGAAATCAAAGAAACACCTAAACATTCCAACAACTCAAACGTGAATTGTATGAACGTTTAGGCCCTCTTATCTTCCATTCCTCATATTACAAAACAAAGAGAATTGAATTTAAACTTTGAAATCAAAGAAACGCGTAAACATTCCAACAACTCAAACGTGAATTGTATGAACGTTTAGGCCCTCTTATCTTCCTCTTTATTGTGGCACAAGAACTAAGAGATGTTGTAGGTGTGTTGAATGGATTGGGGGATTATGGAAATGGAAGAAATGGAGGAAAAATGGAAGAAAAACTCACGGCTAGGGAGAAGATGGAAGTGTTTGTGGTGTGTTGTGTATGAAATGAGATGATGAATGAATGAATGAATGCAAGGGTATTTATAGGAGTAGTGGAGGGAACATATAGGGAGAGAATGGATGGGAGAGCATGTGAATGATAGCTAGGAGAATGATTAAAGGGGTGTGAATGGTTGGAAATGCATGTGGGTGAATTGGTGGTGCAATGATGAAAGAATAAGTGCATGTGTGTGTTTTGTGTTGGAATGAATGTGGATGCATGATGAAAAGTTAATAAATAATGCATGTAGGGTTAGGAAATAAAATCATAACTTAAAGGGGGGATGATTAAAGGATGTGGCTAGGTTGGAAAGGTGTGGAAGATGGATGGAATTAGGGGGAATGCATGGCAATGATGGGGAGTTCTTTGGTGATGAATGCAATGATGAAGAGTGAATAAATAATGCATGTAGGGTTAGCTAGGTTGGCTTTGTTTGGGTGCATGTGAGTTAAAGAGGGAGAATGTGGTGAAATGATGAAGTAGGAAGGTGGAAATGCAAGTGAATGCATGTGAGTGCATGTGTGTGTGAATGGGTGTTTCTTGATGGTTTTGGGGTTGTGATGCATGTGAATGCATGTGGCTAAGGCTTGTTGATTGGGCTAGAGGTTTTGCATGGCTCAAAGGATTGTTTGATTGGGCTAGGCCCTTTGTTTTATGTCCAAAGTGCATACAAGACTTTCAAATTCGTCCAACACTTTGGCTCCAAAAATATGCTATCCATTCCAAGCCCAATTTTGCTCCAAAATGCTCCAAAATGCATCTTTTTGCTTCCTTAGCCATATGAACCTAAAAACACACGAAAATGGCTTAAACTACTAAAACAACTATGAATTAACAACATAGATGCACGAAAACAAGCTAAGTAAGTCGCCTAAATATGCTCCTATCAATATGGCTAAGGAAGCAAAAAGATGCATTTTGGAGCAAAATTGGACTTGGAATGGATAGCTTATGTTTGGAGTAAAAGAAATGGATGAAATTAAAGACTCCAAGTTTCAGCAATATCAAGGGCTCCTACCTATTCTAGGTCACAAAACTTGCAACCTTAAGCAATGCCGTGTGTTTCCTTGTGTCTCCCTGGCAAGGAAGGGCTTTGTTCCCTATTTTAAACACTTAAACACCTTCCTTTCTCATACCTATTTCAGCCATAACCCACATGCACTCTTAATCATTCATCATTGCACCACATTCCAACCATTGTCGTGCACATCAACACATTCCAGCCATTCCACATGCATTCCCCTTGCAATTCCAGCCATCCCACTTCATCATTTCAGCCACCATGACATTATTCTTTCATCATTGCACCACATTCAGCCATTCACCCCTTTCTTCCATCTTAGCCATGCAAAACCCATCATTCCCATCCACACACCTTCCACCATTTCAGCCACACCTTTGTCCTAACACTAGAGCACTAATCATTCACTTTTCATTATATAATTCATGCACCATCATGCATATATTCCCCTCTAGCTGTCTCTCCCATGGATTAATCACTGAAGCCATATTCTATCCTTGAACCCGTGCATTCACCATCAATTCCAGCACCTCCACACACCTTGCCACATGCTTTCCAGCTTTCCCCCTTCATGATTGCAGTCTTTCCAGCTTTCCCCCTTCATCATTAAGCCACATTCATTCCCATTTCTCTCCCATTAATCCTTTAGCCGTGCAAAACCATTCCATTCTAGCCACATCCCTTTGCCGTGCAAAACAGCACCATTTTCCATATTTTCCCCCATCCTGGCAGCAACACATCCACTCCATTTCCAGCACACCCATTCACTCTTCATGATGGCAGCCACATTTTCTCCCTAGCTGTCATATTCCCTCTTTTAATCATCCATCCACCTATAAATAAACATCCATTGCAGCAGTAAAGGAGGATTCATTCATTTTTTACACCAAAACAACATCAAAAACTGCCCTTTGGCCGTGAGTTCCCTACCATTCCAGCATCCACACTTCCCTTGGCCGTGGCTTCCCATCCCTCCAACACACTTCACACCATCACCAATCCATTCCACATACAAACACATCCCAAAACCTATCCTTAGACCTTGTGCCACAACAAAGAGGAGGAGAAGAGTGCCTAAACGTTCATACAATTCAAGTTTGAGTTGTTGGAATTTTTAGGTGTTTCTTTTCCTCGATTTCAATGTTTAATTTCAATTCTCTTTGTCTTGTACATATGAGGAACTAAACCCCCCTTGGCTAGGGGGGATTCAAAATACATGTTTATGCTTGTGATATGATTTGATTACTTCTAATTGCATTTCATAAGTTGTGGATTCAATTTGTTTAACTGTTTGATTGATAACTTATTTATGTATGTTTATTGAGAGTGCACGCTTAATTTTCATGCATGAATATGACGCTAGAATATAAGTGAATTTCACCTAATAGTTATGAACTTATATTCACAAGTAGTGGAGGTTGCTTATAAACAATCGCGTTAAGTAAATTCTTGGCATAAGTTTCATGCAATCATAGTAACAAGCGCTTCGTCAATGCTTATGGTTTTCAAAGAACTTAATGATTCTTGCTTGTATCTCTATTATGCAATCATGTAGGGGACTTGTGGGGAATGTTTTGGGTTGTCGTATGCAATCATCCAATTCAATAACGTTAGGAAAATCTGAGGGTTAATTAGTGCAATTCACGATTAATCTGGGGCGTTGAGAATTCATGGTTTATTGAAAAGCAATTAGAAATCGTTTTGTGTGCAAGTATAACATGTGTGGAGATGAACCCCTTAGCTAGCTTCCCATCCATTCAATTCCATCAAATTCGTATTTACAATTTGTTGTCTTTACAATCTGTCCATTTTAGTTTAATTTCGTCAAAACCTCAATCCCCCCCCCCCCCCATATTTTGTTTAGTCTTAGTCTTAATCTATCTTATTTTGTGTTTTTAAGTATTTGGAGTCCTGTGGACTTATTTTGAGTTTTCGTTAAGTGAATTAAGTGTTTAAAGATTAGTTTTTTTATTTGAGTCAAGTGTTTAGCACCCCTAGTTAATCCCCAGTTAGAACGATCCCTACTTACATCATTACTACAATTGTCACAAATAGGGTTTAATTTATGTGTCACATTCGTATCACATCAGCAACTTAAAAAATAAATTGTATGTAAGTGAATGAAGTAAAATACTTGGAATGATGATCCTTGCTTGTTATTTTCTCGCACCAACTTGTCTGCCTAATCTGTTAAATGTGTATTCATTTTGGCTGCCTCGGTTTGGCACTCATAAAACCACTTCTGAAGAATATTCATTTTTAAAAACTCAAGAAAATGAGTGACAGGTAGTGTTGGGAATTCATACTAATAATATAAAGAATTTGATATAGGACATACCTTAATTGTTTTTGTTGGTGTATTTTCTCTTTCCCAAAGCCCTCTTTATATAATGGCTAGGAGGGAAGAGAGAAAGGGAAATGGTCAATGTGGGACAAATACCACATATCTATAACACATCCTATATTGGATGTATAAATCCTACATCTCCCACTTACCCATATAGGGTGTTGGTATCATCTCAAGTAGCTCATCTATTTCTCATCCATTATAGTTTACCTCCTCATACATAATATGGGACGTGCGACCTTATGAACGTACATATCCAGAAGCGCTGTCATTAAGCTGTCACCAAACTTAACAAGAGTGCATCACTCGGCAGTTCATCACTTTATACCCCAAGTATTATGTATCCATGTCTTACGTTTGACAACTAATATCAAACAGACATTGGCTAGCTAATGAATCACATGACAAAATGTAGTCTTTAAACTATCTTCCCTAAGCTCTAATGTACGTTTAATTTGGTTTAACTGCTTGCCTAGACATGCATCTTGGGACAATTACTAACTTGATCATCTTAGATAAACGTGCTAAAGTAGCGATCATCAAACCTTCTCTTTCTGACATAGACTTTAGTTCAAAGGGTATAATGGTAGGATCACATAGATCTAGTGGCTCACACAGTGAATTGAAGCAGGGATCAATTCGTCACTCCTACTGTCGGCCGCAACTAGCACATACAGTATGAAATGTATGTTATGGTGTATTCTCAATTTAATGAGTGTGTCATATGTCCATTAGATATACATCACACGGATCTTAGTCTAAGCGCTACAGAAATGCCTAACTTAAGTATCTAGCCTAGTCACCCTCTCGGTGCCCACCTAGTTACTCATATCTGGCTTGACAAACTTTAACATGGATTTTAAATGGAAAAATCTCCATGTTCGGCCTTTGCTAGGTCTCATCTTAGACACTTTTAAGGAAACTAATACATATATCTAGTGTATGTTTTGTACGTGAAATTATACACATGTCTAGTCTCGCACTTAAATGCATTTCAAACATATATGTCTCATCCTGTTCACTACCTCAGCGCCAGGGCGAATCGTTTCATGTGAGTGAAACTGATTCTCACTTGGTGATGCTCGAAAAAAAATGGGCATAATACCATTCTCTGAAATAAACGTTAATTCTAATGAGTCTCTTGTAGCCCTTATACCTAGGAGTGTGACATATCACAACTATTGCTAGGGCCACATCTTTAAGACTCCTCATTTTGTGCAATTGCAAGTAATCATGAACAAATTTGGTTTCCCTCCAACTTAGGGAGTTATTTTGCATAGATCAAAGTAGACTCACATAAAATCTCTCTTGTTAATGCAAAACAGCTCCAAAATGATTCCATAAGGAGCACCTATTTTTTCACAAGTAGGTGGATTCTTTCAATTCCATATAAGGGAAATGCAAGTATATTTTCATCACTCTATTGAGAAAATATTTCAACCATGAGTACACATGGAATTACTTGTACCTTGAACAATCATTTTTTCCACAAAGGATCTTATGTTAACCCTATGATGATACAAGAACCAAAATGATGTTTTATGGACATCTAAAATCTTTTTACTGCTCTAAGTTTAGCAATGACTTATGATTACTTCAAAATGGCTTGGTTTGGACAATCATCCACTTCTCGGATAGACTACGCATCAATGCTTTGTGAATAGCGGGTGTACAACATTTTATCACGAGGACAGATGAGTTTATATATAAACACCTCCAAAAATGGTATTTATATTATTTCTTATCCACACATGTGTGTCATACATGCCGCTACTTAATTAGCGCATAGACAAAAAGAGTCATACATGGCATCCCACGATTGAGGCACGTATTAGCTCTTTTACCATCTAGATATAAACATGTGGGTCATACATGCCGCCTTACAATTGGCGTACATATGATTTATCTTATCGTCTAGATGCACATTTTAAGACAATGGTTAACACTATTCCTTATTTCATATTTTAGGAAGCTTTGGTCTAGAATCACACGGCACTCTATCTTTTCTAAGATGTCTTGAGTTTCAGTATAGCCCAGATGGCAACTGTAGAGCTTCTATACGTTAATCTTTAGCAAATCAACCAAGAAACATCTAAGAGTATCACTGAAACTTCTCTAGCACGTCAAAAATGTGTTGTGTCTCACACACAATTATGGAGACAATCTATTTTTCAATAAAGACATCAATTGTCAACACTTATGGAAAGACAAGAACACCTTGGGCTCTAAGTCTTAAAGTACAACAATAACGACTAGAAGGACTTCCAAATGTCAACACAAATAAGGACATTTGTCCAAAAGTCAATAGTGTGTGAATCCAATTCTCTTTTCAGATTGAGAATTTTTCACTTAGGCTAGGTCATGGAAAAATGAGTCACGTCTAACCCCACCTTGGGAAGACATCTCATACTTTCCATCTCCTATTGAAAAAAATAATTTCTTTTATAAAAGAAAAATTTTCAATTTTGCTTGTTAATGAAAGATTTGTCTGTGAAGACCATCTCTTTTAGTCATTTAACAAAGTAGACTAACATTCCTTACCATTTAGGGAGAATGTCTTTAAGACCTAATAGCCTTTTTGGAATGTGCCAAGATTTTAAGTTCAACGATCCACAAATGTCAACCACTTTATTAGTTCAACTACTGAGTGGGATTATGAACCTTCTAAGACCACTCTTATTTTTTAGTAAGTTTCAATTCACATTCTTGTATGACTTCTATCATAAGTCACTCAATTGATTGACTATATCATATTCACAACCTATATTGGTTTGTGAAAACATTGTTCTTCTCACATAACTGCAATGGTACAATTCCATAAGTTGTACTACTGCTGTTTAGTACATTTTCTTTGGTTGTACTTCCCTAAGGTGGAAGATTCCTTGTAGTTTAGTGGTACACTTCCCTTAGTTACACTCCCACTAAATTTACAACCTTTTGTACTTAAGCTAGCATTCTAGCTTAGAGATTGCTTCCAAACTAGTGGTACCCTTCCATTATTAGTATTCCCACTAGGCCTAGCAACCTATTTTCAACTAAGTGAAGAACAAGTTTATAGTCAATTCTATTGCAATTTAAGTGTCACAAGAAATTAATCAACCCTTAAGTCTATATCCTAGACAACCATCTCATCATATGTGAGAACTAGTGTAAGCTAATTGAAAATTCAAAGTCGTTACTTTGCTTATTCAATTGCTTCAGGGTTTTACGGACTAATTGTTGGCAGCAAACTTTCAAGAAACGTCTCCCACTAGGTTGGAAGAGTTAAATTGCGCCTATACCACCTTAAAAAGTGTGTGACATTACCAAAATTTCCGAAAATTCCTTTCCAAGTTATTGGCATCCTACTCACAATTTCATGGTTTTCCAAGACGAGTATAATAGACTCTATTCTTTTGATGTACACATAAAGTTGTTAAACCAAGGCTATACGACAATGTACAATGAAAGAATAATTGCTTTTGAGTAGTAGGAAAAATAATAAGTTTTTTTTCTTTTTTTCAGAAAAACATGGGAAGCATCTACTTATTGCTCTCAAATAAAATTGCAATTGTAGTGAATTAGCTCACTAATTCGAGCTAGATTTGAATAGCACTCCCTTGAAGCTTTTTCAAAACTTACTAAAATGTCAAAGTACTGTTGATCACTAAGCGATTGGGTCAAGTAATGACCTATCTCTAACCATTTTGATCAACTAACTTTAAGCATTCCATATTTAGAGAAAGAAAAAAACACATTTAATGCAAGTTGAGGAATAATGTCGTCTTAAAATTATAAAGTATTTTTAACTTCTCAAATATTGGTGTATCGAAAAGGATATATTCCAAAAAACATTGCTCAATTATGAAATGTTGAAGAAATATTCTAAGCCAAACTAAGGAATGCAAACTTATCACATTCCGACCCGGACTCGACTTTGCTGTAGCATGATATTATGCACTTTGGGCCCGACCATGCCCTTACGGTTTTGTTTCTGGGAACTCACACGAGAACTTCCCAGTAGGTCACCCAACCTGGGATTGCTCTTGCGCGAACTTGCGGAGTTCCGATGGAACCCGAACCCAGTGAGCTCCCAAAATGCCTCCTGCTATATAGAGGTGGGTATGAACATATAAGGCATAGAGGATCATCTCCCCTGAGCAATGTGGGATCTAACAATCCACCCCCTTAGGGGCCCAACGTCCTCGTCGGCACACTTTCGGCCAGGGATTGGCTCTGATACCAAATTGTCACATCATGACCCGGGCTCTACCACATCCCGGGCTCGACTTCGCTGTAGCACGATATTGTTTACTTTGGGCCCCGACCACGCCCTCACGATTTTGTTTCTGGGAACTCACATGAGAACTTCCTAGTGGGTTACCCATCCTGGGAATGCTCTCGCCCGAACTCGCTTAACTTCCGAGTTCCGATAGAACTCGAAGCCAGTGAGCTCCTAAAAGGCCCCATGCTATATGCAGGTGGGTATGTACATATAAGGCATAGAAGATCCTTTCCCCTGGGCGATGTAGGATCTAACAATCCACCCCCCTTAGGGGCCTGACGTCCTCGTCGGCACACTTCTGGCTAGGGATTGGCTCTGATACCAAATTTTCACATCCCGACCCGACTCCACCACATCCTGGGCTCGACTCCGCTATAGCACGATATTGTCCTCTTTGGGCCCCGACCACGCCCTCACAGTTTTGTTTCTGGGAACTCACACAAAAACTTCCTAGTGGTCACCCATCCTGGGATTGCTTTCGCGTGAACTCGCTTAATTTCGGAGTTCCGATGGAGCCGGAAGCCAGTGAGCTCCCAAAATGCCTCGTGCTATATGGAGGTGGGCATGTACATATAAGGCATAGAGGATTCTTTCCCCTGGGCGATGTGGGATCTAACAAAACTCATTAGCAATCTCCTTACATTTCCCAGTGAATCAATCGCTTAGTACTTCAAGTAATAGAATTAGATAATAAAGTTATCTTATCTTCATTTAAGTTTTCATCACATATGC